CATATAGCAGCTATGTTATTTGGGTATGAAGATGTTCAAATGTTGATGGATGTAGCACAGATGTTAAATGTTGGGGACTGATGTTGAAGTTATAGGTACAGGCAAGCTGGATGTTCCATCACAGTGTGGGTCACTTAGCACTAGGAAGGTGGAGGCTCTATACTCTGTGTGCTAATCGCGGCCTCGGTGTCTGTCAAATTCGGCTCTTAATAATCATTGCTAAAACAAAAAACGTCGCTGGGTTTTAACAGGAAGAGAGTAAGGGAATTAAGGCAGGTGTATCAGAGTGAGAGGTAAATAACTCATGGTGGTAATGAATAAGACATGAAGGAAATAGATAACGTAATATATTTGATCCTCATGGCACTATATACTCAGACGGAAGTGTAGTGTCATGGCACTACATTCACAGACGGAAGTATAGTGTCATGGCACTTACAGACGGGCATATAGAGTACATTGTGCCATTGCAATCTGTACTCACAGACGGGAGTATAGTGTTATGGCACGCTACAGCACACTCACAGACGGGAGTATAGTGTCATGGCACGCTACAGCACACTCACAGACGGGAGTATAGTGTCATGGCATGCTACAGCGCAATCACAGACGGAAGTATAGTGTCATGGCACGCTTCAGTACACTCACAGACGGGAGTATAGTGTCATGGCACGCTACAGCACACTCACAGACGGGAGTATAGTGTCATGGCACGCTTCAGTACACTCACAGACGGGAGTATAGTGTCATGGCACGCTACAGTACACTCACAGACGGGAGTATAGTGTCATGGCACGCTACAGTACACTCACAGACGGGAGTATAATGTCATGGCACGCTACAGCACACTCACAGACGGGAGTATAGTGTCATGGCATGCTACAGCGCACTCACAGACGGAAGTATAGTGTCATGGCACGCTTCAGTACACTCACAGACGGGAGTATAGTGTCATGGCACGCTACAGCACACTCACAGACGGGAGTATAGTGTCATGGCACGCTTCAGTACACTCACAGACGGGAGTATAGTGTCATGGCACGCTACAGTACACTCACAGATGGGTGTATAGTGTCATGACACGTTTCAGTACATTCACAGACGGGAGTATAATGTCAGGGCAAGCTATAGTACACTCACAGACGGGAGTATAGTGTCAGGGTACGCTATAGTACACTCACAGACGGGAGTGTAGTGTCAGGGCACGCTATAGTACACTCACAGACGGGAGTATAGTGTCATGGCACGCTACAGTACACTCACAGACGGGAGTATAGTGTCATGGCACGTTTCAGTACACTCACAGACGGGAGTATAATGTCAGGGCACGCTATAGTACACTCACAGACGGGAGTATAGTGTCAGGGCACGCTATAGTACACTCACAGACGGGAGTGTAGTGTCAGGGCACGCTATAGTACACTCACAGACGGGAGTATAGTGTCAGGGCACGCTACAGTACACTCACAGACAAGAGTATAGTGCCATAACCCGTCCATGGCCTCGTGGACAGAGCAGATTTCACCGTGTACCGTGATTTACGAGGGATTCCTTTAATTTCAACAAGTCGCATCTCCATTAATATTCTACTGTGGAAGTCTGCATTGTACTAAAGTACAGCACGTTCTGGGTACTAATGGTATACCCGGGTTATAGAGTCATGTGATACAATATTTTCTTATCCTCACTGAGAGGAGTCATATAACCCACCCCACAAGGAAGTATTTGTGGACAGGAAGTGAGAAAAGACCTACCACAATGCAGAGTATCCTACCTGATAACACTGTTATCTATGACGCCTTATAGTGAAAAAACTGAGCAATTACTGTCAAAACCCAACTTAGACTTCCAAGTTATCATTAACCATCAGCATCTTCACTTTCAGAAAGCACAGAACTGACTTATTCCGCTGGAAGAGATGCATCAAAACAGACTTATAAAAACAAGAAATAACAACAACTAACCCATAATGTGGAGAGGAAAAATTCCGTGACTTTTCAGTCCGTCTTATACCAATCTAAAGTTGCGACATATACCACTGTGACATTGCATTAGTATCATCATAAAGTCGAAGCTTGTACCATTACAAAGTCACAACTTAGTAATGGTTCAGGACTGGCCGAGGCGTCGCCTCAAGTATTCTTGTTAGGTAAGACACATATGCAACAGTTAGGTATCTTTATTTCGAAACGTTTCGCCTACACAGTAGGCTTCTTCAGTCGAGTACAGAAAAGTTAATAGAAGCAGAAGAGACTTGAAGACGATGTAATCAGTCCATCACCCTTAAAGTTTTGAGGTGGTCAGTCCCTCAGTCTGGAGAAGAGCATTGTTCCAAAGTCTGAAACAATATTGTTTCGAAATAAAGAACTAACTTTGCATGGTCTTACCTAACAACCTGTCGGTATTTTATACCACTTTAATGTTCAAGTATTCTTCATTAACTGCAGGTTGGTAATGAATTGTTTCAATCACAGTATTTTGACTTTTATTCTCTCCGATAAAGTAATATACTAATATCTTACCTATACAGAAACTCTTCAGATAAAAGGCCAGAAATATGAAACACCATATTTGATACTTCAAAAACTTCTAAATCTAATTCCAACATAAAAATTTTAAATAAAATAAGCTGGCAATTTAAATGTCATTTCCGTACTTCTATTTTCAATATTTGTATATAAAAGCCCAAGTTTTATTTACTGTTGCACGCATCATTTTTTCAAAGCTTGTTTTTCTTACTGTTTCTATAAAGTGTACTCTGAACTGACCCTACACAGTGATGCCTCTATATTAGAGGAAGACATCTTCCGTTTTTGTATACTTTTAGCATTTCACAAAGGGGTTAACGCCTGAGGGCACTTTGAGCCTTGGCAAGTTTAGAAGCTTTAGAATTCTGGGCCAAAATTTAATGGTTACTTCTAAGACCTGATGCTCCGCTCATATGTCATGGGTGGGAGCGGCCAGGAAAGGCACTTTCCACGCCGAAAGTGGAGCTCTGTCAGAGGTCAGAGCTCCCGAAGAAGCAGACTAGATGGCAATAACTGTAAATGGGGCAGAAATTACGACAGGAGACAGCACTCACTCGGCTTCCAGAGACCCAAGACCTTTAAGGTTGCACTCTGAAATGCGAAGGTCCCCGCAAGGATGCCACATGAAGAGTTACTCTTTGACGAGTGTGAGAAGAGAAAAGGAGGTAGACGGGTGAATCAATCAGAGCCAGAGAGAAGAATCCGGATGATATTTTTTTAATCAGGGGAAAGCACTAAGCCCGTAGGGTTTATATACCGCCTGAGGAATGTGATGCATTCAACATCAGTCCAAGGAAGGAAACAATTAGTCCAGTTCTTTGAAGCAAGAGCTTCCGACCTACATTAGAACACCTCTAAGGGAAGAATCAGCATGAGAATAGGTAAGAAGACATTAAGAATATAATGCGTAGGAGGCTTAGGATAAGGAGGCTGAAGGATAAACTGAAGATCTACAGGCAACTTTGTGAGTCAGTAGAGATTCATTCATGGCTCTGCATGGAGAGTCATTTTGCAAGGCTCATGGCCTCGTTAAAACTTATAGCTCTTCAGTGCCTTAATAGTTAATATCCGTCCTCTCAATCGTTCAACAGTTTCAGTCAGAGGATGATGCAGCATCTCCATGACACAGATGACGATATTACAGAACCAAGATAAACAGCACAGTCATCGGATGTTCTCTGTAAAGATTGTAGCTTACATACATGTACGTCTGACAATAAAAAAAAACTATCAGTGGGGACACAGGTTCAACCGAGAGCCAAAACAAGCCAGATTTACAACCACCTTTAGGGTGATAAGGTCAAAAATCAACAAGATAACGGGTGTGTGAAAGAAGTTCAGCTACATTTTCCTAAATATCTCAACCTTTATAACCTCGTGGCTCTCCAACACCGAAGTCTCTTCCTCAAAAAACACTCTTGGTCTCACGAACACCCCACACCGGCACTGACATAGAGCGGCAAAGAGAGCACAAGAAACCTCAGTGCGTGGTACGTGAAACAGTGAATATCTCTCGCCCACGGCTTACAGTAACAACACGATGGATATAATTAATATTCACTTCCATCATGTACTGGCCATTTAATATCTCCAGGTGTGTAACTATGAGGAACCTTTCTTGTGAACCTGCGTGGTGGTGGCCATGTAAACTTGAATTGGCTCAGGAATTTACGAAAGCAAACTGGAAAGAACAGTCTACTGAATCATAATGAAATCACAAGATACAGCCCCAAGTGAGTCTCAAGATGATGACTGGAAGGCTTCGTCGCCTATCAAACTACTCATGTAATAACCAAATGTAGCCATATACATGTTGATAAAGACCCTGACGCACTATTCAATAAATTTTTCTCCACTTTAGCAAAAGTTTCCTCAATAAATGTCTTAAACTGTGTATAAGTATCTGTTCCACATTCGGTATCACCCTACCTGATCTTCGACTAGCCTTATACAGTAACGCACAGTAATAACTAACTGGGTCTACGAAAACAGATGCTTAACAATCCAGTGCAGGGTAGCTATGAGGGGCAACATATTGTTGGGTGGAGCCGAGTACGTGCTCTTCATCTCTTGTGAAAGAGAGGCCACAACAAGCGCTCAATGGCGCCCACGGTCATTAGAGTACGTCTTCCTTACAACGCCAAGGTAGCTCGGAGAGCTTAGAACCATGAAAGAATGATTTGAAATATAGAGTAAAACGTCTCTCATCTTCTTCGATCTTAATATGAAGCGAAACCTCGGATATTCACCTTCATCCAAAGCAGTTAAGTGAGGAAGGTTGAAGGTAAGAAGTCTGTGATCTGCTGGGTCAACAATGACTCGACAGTCCCATGGCTTTCTCCGGCAGCCTTTCCCTTGGGGCAATCAGCACCACTCTAAAGCCTAGGACTTTCGCCCTTGCCACCACTCCACTCTTGAAGTAGGTCACGTAAAACGCTACTCAGCGTATTTATCTGCCAGGACGTGATGCAACTACCAAATGTGATGCTCGCGGATGTAGGATATTGCAGGTGATGTTGCAAGCACTGCAAACAAGGTGGACCCTGAAATTATCACCAGGTGTCGCCGTCTTATACTTATTTGTAGCCTGACGTGTGTTTGGAAGCTATGGACATTGTGGTCTAATAGCTGTCTGTTGCCTGCATTATGTTGGGTTGACGATGGTTCTGTCTTCGTAGACGCATCTTCTGCCCGTCTCTTATTGATTAATTAATGTTGAACAAATTCAAAGGTTTTACTGCCTCTCCTGATTACTGTCTTCAGGACGAGCAAATGATAGAATGCCAGTTATCTGCTGAAGGACAGTTTAACTTTATGGCAGATATTATCATGACGCAGAGTATTTGAAAACAAAGAATTTTAACTCGTACGAAGAACTTGACACATACACACACACACACACACACACACACACACACACACAGAGGGGAGGATGAGCCAGCAAGACTGGATCTTGTGTTCACCCTGAGCAGTTCAGACATTGAGGACATCACTTACGAGAGGCCCCTTGGAGCTAGCGATCATGTGGTTCTGAGTTTTGACTATATAGTAGAGTTACAAGTGGAGAAGGTAACAGGAACTGAAGGGGACAGGCCAAACTATAAAAGGGGGGACTACACAGGTATGAGAAACTTCCTGCAGGAGGTTCAGTGGGACAGAGAAATGGTAGGAAAATCAGTAAACGAGATGATGGAATATGTGGCAACAAAGTGCAAGGAGGCAGAGGAAAGTTTTGTTCCCAAGGGAAACAGAAATAATAGGAAGACCAAAACGAGTCCTTGGTTTACCCGAAGGTGTAGGGAGGCAAAAACTAAGTGCAACAGAGAATGGAAAAGGTACAGGAGGCATAGGACCCAGGAAAACAAGGAGATTAGTAGAAGAGCCAGAAACGAGTATGCGCAGACAAGGAGGGAGGCCCAGCGACAGTATGAAAACGACATAGCATCGAAAGTCAAATCTGACCCGAAACTGCTGTATAGCCACATTAGGAGGAAGACAACAGTCAAGGACCAGGTGATAAGGCTGAGGAAAGAAGGTGGAGAACTCACAAGAAACGATCAAGAGGTATGTGAGGAGCTCAACACGAGATTTAAGGAAGTATATACAGTAGAGACAGGAAGGACTCTGGGGGACAGACCAGATGGGGACACCAGCAAGGAATACACCAACAAGTGTTGGACGACATACATACAGATAAGGAGAGGTGAAGAAACTGCTAAGGGACATCGATACCTCAAAGGCAATGGGCCCGGGACAACATCTCTCCGTGGGTCCTTAGAGAGGGAGCAGATATGTTGTGCGTGCCACTTACCACAATCTTCAACACATCCCTGGAAACTGGGCAACTACCTGAGGTATGGAAGACGGCAAATGTAGTTCCCATTTTCAAAAAAGGAGACAGAAAAGAGGCACTAAACTATAGACCTGTGTCATTGACGTGTATAGTATGCAAAATTATGGAGAAGATTATCAGGAGGAGAGTGGTGGAGCACCTGGAACGGAACAGGAGTATAAATGCCAGCCAGCACGGATTCACGGAAGCAAATCCTGTGTCACAAACCTTCTGGAGTTTTATGATAAAATAACAGAAGTAAGACAAGAGAGAGAGGGTGGGTTGATTGCATCTTCTTGGACTGCAAGAAGGCCTTTGACACAGTTCCTCACAAGAGATTAGTGCAGAAGCTAGAGCATCAGGCGCATATAACAGGAAGGGCACTGCAATGGATCAGAGAATACCTGACAGGGAGGAAAAAAACGAGTCATGGTACGTAATGATGTATCACAGTGGGCACCTGTGACGAGCGGGGTCCCACAGGGTCGGTCCTAGGACCAGTGCTATTTTTGGTATATGTGAACGACATGACGGAAGGGTTAGACTCAGAAGTGTCCCTGTTTGCAGATGATGTGAAGTTAATGAGGAGAATTAAATCTGATGAGGACCAGGCAGGACTTCAAAGAGACCTGGACAGACTGGACAACCTGGTCCAGCAAATGGCTTCTCGAATTTAATCCGCCAAATGCAAAGTCATGAAGATAGGGGAAGGGCACAGAAGACCACAGACAGAGTATAGGCTACGTGGCCAAAGACTGTAAACCTCACTCAAGGAGAAAGATCTTGGGGTGAGTATAACACCGAGCATGTCTCCGGAAGCACACATCAATCAGATAACTGCTGCAGCATATGGGCGCCTGGCAAACCTGAGAACAGCATTCCGATACCTCAGTAAGGAATCATTCAAGACACTGTAAAACCGTGTATGTCAGGCCCATACTGGAGTATGCAGCACCTGTTTGGAACCCGCACTTGATAAAGCACGTCAAGAAACTAGAGAAAGTACAAAGGTTTGCGACAAGGTTAGTTCCAGAGCTAAGGGGAATGTCCTATGAAGAAAGATTAAGGAAATCGGCCTGACGACACTGGAGGACAGGAGGGTCAGGGAGACATGATAACGACATATAAAATACTGCGTGGAATAGACAAGGTGGACAAGGACAGGATGTTCCAGGGAGGGGACACAGAAACAAGAGGCCACAATTGGAAGTTGAAGACACAAATGAGTCAGAGAGATAGTAGGAAGTATTTCTTCAGTCATAGAGTTGTAAGGCAGTGGAATAGCCTAGAAAATGACGTAGTGGAGGCAGGAACCATACACAGTTTTAAGACGAGGTTTGATAAAGCTCATGGAGCGGGGAGAGAGAGGGCCTAGTAGCAACCGGTGAAGAGGCGGGGCCAGGAGATAGGACTCGACCCCTGCAACCACAAATAGGTGAGTACACACAGACACAATCGCCCATAAAGGAATTCATAAAATTAACGTGCACACAAAATGCACGCACAGAAAACACACGTAAACAAAATAGACGAACACAAAAAGAACGCACAAGTAATACACGCACACGAAATACACACCAAAAAGTAATACACACAAAATAATCTCACACAAAATGCACGCAACCAGTATACACGCACACAGAGTACGCGCACACAGAATCAGTGTAAGCCCAGTGCTTCGTATTTTGTGCCTTTCCGCCATTGTTCCTATGCTACCATCTAGTGGACCGGTTATGGATTAGATCTCAGGGCAGCAAAAGCTGTTTCACTCTGCGCAGACGAAGGACAGGACAAAGATAGCATTTCCTCACTCTTGCAGGCCTGCGGCCTGTCGTGGACTAGTGCCAAATATTCGCTGTGTAACCTCTACTACAATGAATGTAAGGTTAGCCTTTAGGCCTATTACTTATTGCAACGTACTATCAATCTCAATATTCTAGAGCAAATGCCGACAAAAAGTAAATACAGCAATGGTGTCGGTGGTGGGATTCGAACCCACACATCCGAAGAGAGATTGTACCAGATTTTATACCCTCTTGTATTTGCCATTTTGGTGACAGTTCTTCGTTTCCACATTATGACTTTTGAAAGTGGACCATTTTAAACTTTCAGTTGGCAGTTCCTACCATTTGCAATTATTTGTTTAGGATATCCAGTCAGCCTGCAACATTTGCATTCCAAGACTCTTGTCTACAGACCCCAGTGTCTTTGTATATACACTCCAGTCGAATAACTTAAAGCAACATCTTTGTCCATGTATAACTTGCATGCCTAATAAAACTCTTTCATTGTTTATCTGTCTTCCAATCTGTAACGTAACCTATCTTCGTGTGTCTCTATTTCTAACCCAACTTATTCTACCCTATCTTTCATGTTAATACTGTTTTTCTTAGTCATGAATAGTGAGTCCAGAAATATCTTATACTCTTGTATTAAGGTTAGTTTAGTAGAGTTAAGCAACTGGTCCTTGGATACTTACTGCTCGCTCACAGGCGATGCTTCTCTCAGAACCAGAACTTGCAAGAAAACGGTCTATTAAAGCTAACTGGCCTATCTTGTCTAATTATACCAAATGTTGATGTTGGAAGATAGTAACAAAATAGAATCGTCCATGCCATAACTAGAGAACGACTCATCTGATGGTTTCAAATTTTCACCACTAGTGTGGTTTCCTGAACACAAGGTTAAAGCTGCCATTGGGTGACTTTAGTTCCGGTTGACCAGTTTTATTTAGTAGTGATATTATTTTTTTTTACTCAACTGCTCACGAATGCTTCTTCTGATTAGTTTCAAAATATTGTTGAAGATGCGTTCAATAATAAGGATGATAACCCATAAATTTAGCCCAAATAGGTGCAAATTTGGATTTTTTCTAAGTTATAAAACTTGGAATCGTTGGCATCAGATCAACTACTCGAGAATGCCTTTCCTGATCAGCTTCAAACTTTTACCATAGTTAAAACGAAGCTTGTCACTCTGCGCTGTGTAACTTTAAATTTGCCAGTTATATTAAGCAAATTGTTTAGCATGTAATAACTAGAGAATTCTTGATCAGCTTCGAACTATAACTGATGGTGTGTTTTAATAAGTATTTTTGTATTAATTTTGAGATGTGTGTCAATTTTATTAAATTGAGTATTTCAAAATAAAAACAAAATACCATATTTTACGAAGTCGAAAATGCTATTTTTTTCCCCAAAAATAAGTCTCTAAAATTTACCCAGCGTCTTGGAGGTCAAAGGTTACGCTGTTCATAGGCCTCAACCTAAGTCTAGAGAAGTGTTTCCATACCAGACAGTAATCTAAGCTGTTGTATATGACCCAATAATGAATTGTGTAAACTATTTTGCATAACATAATGAATAAATAACAAAAATAATCATAGATCGTAAAAATTTGTTGGCGCTTAGCGGTAGGCTAAGGTATACCAGACGATGGAGTCTTATGGACTAGAGTAGTATGAGTAGGCTAATTCGTCTGTTTCCCATCAAACCTCCTGGTAATATTTTTACTCATCTCAAACGGTTCCGCTCCAAAGTACTATGACTTTGAGCTCAAGGTCCGAGCCCTAATACGACTGATGCATCATATGAAATGGATGGAACATTTCATAGGTTAAAGCTGTAGTTAAAACACATGCAGAGTCAAGACAATGCTTAGAATTTCCAAGTTCCAAAAATGTCTGTGTGTGTGGCGTGAGTGTGAGGCAGTGTGTTGTGAGGCAGAGCAACCACAGCTTACATCCTTCCCTGGTAGACATCAACATCAACTGTTGAATTCTGAGTGAGTATCGGTGGTGGAAATCTACACCTGACAGTTTTCCAAATGGAAGCAATGCCGATTTCTTTTTATGCAGGCGCCTCACCCCTGCCATGGCTCACTCAGTACCAAATTTTTCATACAGTATTATAAATGTGGAAGATAACTGAGAAAAATTTGCGTTATGAAAACAATAGTGGTCATTATCTCAGAGCTATTAACAATTATAAATATTGTTTCTTGTAGTAACAGTCCTTAGAGTATATATTAGTAATTAAGCGCTAAACCCACAAACACCAAATAATATGCAGATGTATGTCACCATATTCATTAATAGTTACCACTGTTTCTTTAACAATGTATTTATTGTTAACATTCCAGAAACAGAAAACAAAAGTGTGCATAAACATCTAAAAATTATACTTAAATTAAGGTTTCTATTTTGCTAATTAAAGAAAAAAAAAAGCTTTAAACCCGTGTAGGCCATACAGCACTCACCCCAATCTTGGCATACTTCTTCATGAGGTTCACTCTAGCTTCAAAATGTTCTCTGCCGTAGTCAGATCTCACATCATCACTCATGGTTTCCCACATTGTCTTGGCAGCATCATTGATGGACGTCTCGCTGAAGATAGATGTACCTGGGGTAAAGGATAGTGGTGTTGAGATGTGAGGGAATGGTGGCGAGATGAACGTGATGGGTAAGTAATGTCTTCAGGTGGGATGAGGATAGCGATAGTGATAACGAAGTGGTGGTACGTAGATAAATGATTCAGAGAACCGACAATAAAGATACCCAAGTGTTGCACATGAGTCTAATTTATCGAAGTGGTGGTAGTTGTGGTGAAGGGAAGGTCGTATTGACAAGTGAGGTGCCTAGTACATCATTACTTACCCATTTCGCTATTATGCACTATTTAAAGCAAGACCTGTTGATACACTCAATCTCATGCTTCCGTATTGTATAAATAGTTACATTTCTGTACGAAAAAGAATGGAGAAAGAGAGGAGGAAGAGAAGAAGGCAACGACAGCAAATCAGACTAGGAATTAGAAAAGAAAGCCGAAGTTGATGAGAACAAAGAATAAGAGGAAGAAAAGAAGGCGAATAAATTAAGTGAAAGCAACAAAGAAAGTGGAGCAATATAAACTAAGCAAAAGATCATTATCATTCCTGAGAATACTGACCAGCAATAAAGTTTCCAGGTTCGATGATGGACACCTTGACCCCCCAGGACCTCATCTCGTACCTACTCAATCACACGAAAAAAACAGTAGATTTTAAAAGACAGCAAAATAATAATTATAATATTTGTAATAATGAAGAAATTCTGTAGGTTTTAACTTCGGGTAACCAAACAAAGTCATGAAGTATGACTTGTTTCTGTTCAGATCCAATCCTGAAAATGATAACAAGATTATTTTCCATCTCTGAACCATCTTCAAGCATCCTCTCTCCCATCCTCACGAAGGTGGTGACCCAGAACAGGTGACTTAACACCCAGGTACCTGTTTACTGGGACCCAGAACAACTGACTTAACACCCAGGTACCTGTTTACTGGGACCCAGAACAACTGATTTAACACCCAGGTACCTGTTTACTGGGACCCAGAACAACTGACTTAACACCCAGGTACCTGTTTACTGGGACCCAGAACAATTGATTTAACACCCAGGTACCTGTTTACTGGGACCCAGAACAACTGATTTAACACCCAAGTACCTGTTTACTGGGACCCAGAACAACTGACTGAACACCCAGGTACCTGTTTACTGGAACCCAGAACAACTGACTTAACACCCAGGTACCTGTTTACTGGGACCCAGAACAGGTGACTTAACACCCAGGTACCTGTTTACTGGGACCCAGAACAGGTGACTTAACACCCAGGTACCTGTTTACTGGGACCCAGAACAGGTGACTTAACACCCAGGTACCTGTTTTACTGGGACCCAGAACAGGTGACTTAACACCCAGGTACCCTGTTTACTGGGACCCAGAACAACTGACTTACACACTCCAGGACCTGTTTACTGGGACCCAGAACAATTGATTTAACACCAGGTACCTGTTTACTGGGACCCAGAACAACTGATTTAACACCCAGGTACCTGTTTACTGGGACCCAGAACAACTGACTGAACACCCAGGTACCTGTTTACTGGGACCAGAACAAAATGACTTAAACACCCAGGTACCTGTTTACTGGGACCCATAACAGGTGACTTAACACCCAGGTACTGTTTATACTGGGACCCAGAACAACTGACTTAACACCCAGGTACCTGTTTACTGGGACCCAAAACAGGTGACTTAACACCCAGGTACCTGTTTACTGGGACCCAGAACAGGTGACTTAACACCCAGGTACCTGTTTACTAGGACCCAGAACAGGTGACTTAAACACCCAGGTAACCTGTTTACTGGACCCAGAACAGGTGACTTAACACCCAGGTACCTGTTTACTGGGACCCAGAACAACTGACTTAACACCCAGGTACATGTTTACTGGGACCCAGAACAGGTGACTTAACACCCAGGTATCTGTTTACTGGGACCCAGAACAACTGACTTAACACCCAGGTACCTGTTTACTGGGACCCAGAATAACTGACTTAACACCCAGGTACCTGTTTACTGGGACCCAGAACAACTGACTTAACACCCAGGTACCTGTTTACTGGGACCTAGAATAACTGACTTAACACCCAGGTACCTGTTTACTGGGACCCAGAACAGGTGACTTAACACCCAGGTACCTGTTTACTGGGACCCAGAACAGGTGACTTAACACCAGGTACCTGTTTACTGGACCCAGAAATAACTGACTTAACAACACCCAGGTACCTGTTTACTGGGACCCAGAACAGGTGACTTAACACCCAGGTACCTGTTTACTGGGACCCAGAACAGGTGACTTAACACCCAGGTACCTGTTTACTGGGACCCAGAACAGGTGACTTAACACCCAGGTACCTGTTTACTGGGACCCAGAATAACTGACTTAACACCCAGGTACCTGTTTACTGGGACCCAGAACAGGTGACTTAACACCCAGGTACCTGTTTACTGGGACCCAGAACAACTGATTTAACACCCAGGTACCTGTTTACTGGGACCCAGAACAACTGACTTAACACCCAGGTACCTGTTTACTGGGACCCAGAACAGGTGACTTAACACCCAGGTACCTGTTTACTGGGACCCAGAACAACTGATTTAACACCCAGGTACCTGTTTACTGGGACCCAGAACAACTGATTTAACACCAAGGTACCTGTTTACTGGGTAAATACTTCAACTATATTATGCATACTCACACACACATATATATCCTCACAAATTCTATTCGCTATTAATAAATCTAATATATACATCCCTGAACTTATATTCATATTGCAGTTAATACCAGTTTTCATAAAGCTTAATAATTATATAGCGCTGTATAGCCCTTGTGGCTTAGCGCTTCTTTTTGATTATAATAATAATTAACAATTATATTTCGCTCAGCCACTTACTTGATATAACATTCTCGACTTTTGAAAAATCAGTTGGATGCTTAAAATCTCACGTGAATAAACAGAGTATTAGACTCCAGTTTGACTGTTATAAACCTTTGTTGTATTTTTGACAAGGAATTTTATAGACACAACCATCAACATTTTTGGGGGGAATTCTTAATGAGATTTATTTTTTTTTACTGTATCAAAATTTTTAAATACAAATTTGATTTTGAAATTCTTAAGTAGAGAAGGTGTATCAAGAAAATTATCATAAGGAAGAACAAACATATTCTTGGTTTAATATGCTTTCTTTGTTGTCTTTTTTGAATTGTAAAACGTACTTCTGGCAATTTTAAAAGATTTGTCAGTTTTTTTTTTTTTTTTGGGGGGGGGGGATATTTTAGATTATATGTTATTTCTTCATCTATGAACTCTGGGCTGAAAATACACAGAGCTCTCCAAACATGGAGGAGAATACTGAACTCACGAAATCGTAATGACACGATTGCAAACAAAACATACAACGGGTTGGGTTTGAACCTGCGATCAGAGTCTCAAAACTCCAGACCGTCGCGTTAGCCACTTGGCCAGCTACCTTAATAAGATTCGTTTGTGGTCACAGTGGTGCCTATGCTAACCTTCCTATGGTGTAGAAATATACCTAGTTGGATGAATCTTATTAAGCTAAGTAAAGTAAAAGGACACAAGCGCAACTAATGTGACGTTTTTATTGTGGCAACGTTTCGCTCTCCAGGAGCTTTGTCAAGCCGTTTGTAGATGAATGGTTCAGAGAACCGACATGTTGATAAATTAGACACATGTGCAACTCTTGGGTATCTTTATTGAGGAAACGTTTCGCCACAGTGGCTTCATCAGTCCATACATAGGAGAAACTTGAAGAACAGGAGGAGAATGAGGTAATCAGTCCCTCAACCTTGAGTCGATGTGTTCAGTCCATTCAAGTTTCTCCTATGTATGGACTGATGAAGCCACTGTGTGGCGAAACGTTTCCTCAATAAAGATACCCAAGAGTTGCACATGTGTCTAATTTATTAATATGTCGGTTCTCTGAACCATTCATCTACAAACCTGTCAGACACTGCAACTTCTTGGGATCTTAATACTTAGGAATTCTTCGCTTGCCTAATTCTTGGGCACAACCTACTTCCACATTGAACAAATGTGACACGACCTATGACTGCTGCACCTCTCCTGCCATACGGTTTATAAGCTGCTTCTCCGCTGATATGCCGTATTCTATTCAAGATTGATGGACTGAACACATCGACTCAAGGTTGAGGAACTGATTACCTCATTCTCCTCCTGTTCTTCAAGTTTCTCCTATGTATGGACTGATGAAGCCACTGTGTGGCGAAACGTTTCCTCAATAAAGATACCCAAGAGTTGCACATGTGTCTAATTTGTCAAGCCGTTACAAACAATACATGGACACAGAGGGTATATATATAGGCTTAGAGTGAGGTGCAATACTAGTGGTAGTAGTAGTAGTAGTAGTAGTAGTAGTAGTAGTAGTAGTAGTAGTGATGTAAGTTGTAGTAGTAGTAGTAGTAGTAGTAATACAATATATTAGAACAAATAACTTGCACATGAGTAAAAGGATATAAAAGCTCTTCAGATCATTAATTCTCCACGCACCAATACCACTCCTAACAAAGTTATAATTCTTCCCAACAGCCAGGTTGCACTGAATGTCTCTGAAGCACTTTCACAAGCTAACACCAGAGTCACCATTGCTTCCAGCACTTCGATAAAGGATCTAACCAGAACAAAATCTAAGCACCACGAACCAGTCAACGCAGGGGTTTACACTATACCCTGTGGAGGCTGCGACAAGATTTATATAGGTGAAACAGCAAGAAACCTTGACACCCGCCTCAATGAACACATTTATGCATGTAGGAACGATGACTTGAACAACGCCTGTGTACAACTCCGAAATTCCACCAATCATCTCGTGAAGTTGAGGGACACCCAATTAGTTATCAAAGAAACTAATTTCCGCAGACGCAAGTGCCTTGAATCTTCACTAATAGCTGTTTCTAATACAATTAAACAAAAAAGGCAGCTTCACCATCTCTGAAGTCTTAGCAAGAATCCTCCTGAAAACAGTAAACCCTGCCATAACATAGTCTCTCCTGCTAATGCTACACAAGCACATTACAGAGAATGAACATTGAAACAGACCTTCTCTATCCAGCCTCCAATAGAAATATTTGTCTAATCTATTTTTATGTTACCCATGTAAATTAAGTTTTTATATCCTTTTACTCATGTGCAAGTTATTTGTTCTATCATTGTATTACTACTACTACAACTTATATATCACTACTACTTACTACTACTACCACTAGCATGGCACCTCAATCTGAGCCTATATATGCCCTCTGTGTCCATAAACTACTTGTAACGGCTTGGCAAAGCTCCTGGAGAGCGAAACGTTGCCACAATAAAAATGTCACATTAGTTGCACTTGTGTCCTTTCACTTTACATATTATCGGTAATTCTACCAACTTTATTACACTTATTAAGCTAGCTGGCCCAGTAGTTAACGCGACGGTCTGGAGTTTTGAGGCTCTCTGACCGCGGGTTCAAACTCCACCCGAGGTATGGTTTGAAAATACTGAACATTTACCTCTCGTGATGTGAAGAATGATAGAATACATTAAACCAGCTATTTGTTTGTTTTCTGTATATTTCAAATTGTAATTCTTGATTTCCCTTAATAATTACAACTAGAAAAAGGCAGTAAGTTATTTCGTTTAAACTCAGCAGTAAACTTCATGGATAGAGCTAAACTATTTAATTAATTCAAGTAGGAATTTATTTATATTCTTGGGCATTAAACATAGAAGGTCATCAACATATCTGTAGCATTTATCTTTATCAGGAAGAATTTTGTTAAGCAGTCTTGTTTCAAAAAATTCCATGTGCAAATTACTAAGGATTGGTGAGAGAGGATTTCCTAAGCAAAAGCTAAGACGAACTAAAAAAAATTTGGCCATCAACCCATCTTTATCATACATGCATGGATTAATCAAAACCCATACACCGGGTAATCCAGCCAGACCCATAATTAGCTCCATTGGCTCAGTCACCTTCAAATTATCCAGATGGCTAGTAGATATATTGAGCCCAATTGCTGGCAAAGTTTCTAACTTTAATGTTCACAAAAGTACCAGTTGACGACTTATTAAGTTTCCTATCTGAAGACTCTGCAATAACGATTTACCACAGTGTCAACACTGAGTGCTGCATTAAGTAAACCTCTTGTGCATAAGATCAACATTACATATATAATACAAATAATAATAATAATAATAATTAATAATAATAATATTAAGATAGGAGTAAAATTTCACTTTCCGTTTGTATGTCTATCCTTTTGCACATAATACAGCCATATACCTGAGACAATCACAGAGGCCTTCCACAGCATACTTGGAGACGACGTAAGGAGCCCTCATAGGCACAGCCATCCTGCCTAGGCCGCTGGCGATAGTTACCACCCGACCTTTCCAAGACAAAATAGAATGAGATATTAGTATTAGGTATTTCCTACAACACTCCACTGTGTACCTCCTACAGTACTCCACTGTGTACCTCCTACAGTACTCCACTGTGTACCTCCTACAGTACTCCACTGTGTACCTCCTACAGTACTCCACTGTGTACCTCCTACAGTACCCCACTGTGCACCTCCTACAGTACTCCACTGTGTACCTCCTACAGTACTCCACTGTGTACTCCTACAGTACTCCACTGTGTACCTCCTACAGTACCCCACTGTGCACCTCCTACAGTACTCCACTGTGTACCTTCTACAGTACTCCACTGTGTACCTCCTACAGTACTCCACTGTGTACCTCCTACTGTACCCCACTGTGCACCTCCTACAGTACTCCACTGTGTACCTCCTACGGTACTCCACTGTGTACCTCCTACGGTACTCCACTGTGTACCTCCTACGGTACCCCACTGTGTACTTCCTACAGTACTCCACTGTGTACATACAATACTCCACTGTGTACCTCCTACAATACTCCACTATGTGCAACTTACAGTACTCCACAGTGTACTTCGTACAGTACTCAACTGTGTACTTTCTACAGTACTCCACTGTGTACTTCCTACAGTACTCCACTGTGTACCTCTTACAGTACTCCACTGTGTACTTCCTACAATACTCTACTATGTACTTCCTACAGTACTCCACTATGAGCCACTTACAGTACTCCACTATGAGCCACTTACAGTACTCCACTGTGTACCTCCTACAGTACCCCACTGTGCACCTCCTACAATACTCCATTGTGTACCTCCTACAATACTCCACTGTGCACTTCCTACAATACTCCACTGTGTACCTCCTACAGTACTCCACTGTGTACCTCCTACAGTACTCCACTGTGCACCTCCTACAATACTCCACTGTGTACCTCCTACAGTACTCCACTGTGTACTTCCTACAATACTCCACTGTGTACCTCCTACAGTACTCCACTGTGTACCTCCTACAGTACTCCACTGTGTACCTCCTACAGTACTCCACTGTGTACCTCCTACAGTACTCCACTGTGTACCTCCTACAGTACTCCACTGTGTACCTCCTACAGTACTCCACTGTGTACCTCCTACAGTACCCCACTGTGCACCTCCTACAATACTCCACTGTGTACCTCCTACAGTACTCCACTGTGAAACCTCCTACAGTACTCCACTGTGTACCTCCTACAGTACTCCACTGTGTACCTCCTACAGTACTCCACTGTGTACTTCCTACAGTACTCCACTTTGCACCTCCTACAGTACTCCGCTGTGTACCTCCTACAGTACCCCACTGTGTACCTCCTACAGTACCCCACTGTGCACCTCCTACAATATTCCACTGTGTACCTCCTACAGTACTCCACTGTGTACCTCCTACAGTACTCCACTGTGTACCTCCTACAGTACTCCACTGTGTACCTCCTACAGTACCCCACTGTGCACCTCCTACAGCACTCCACTGTGTACCTCCTACAGTACTCCACTGTGTACCTCCTACAGTACTCCACTGTATACCTCCTACAGTACTCCACTGTGTACCTCCTACAGTACTCCACTGTGTACCTCCTACAGTACTCCACTGTGTACCTCCTACAGTACTCCACTGTGTACCTCCTACAGTACTCCACTGTGTACCTCCTACAGTACTCCACTGTGCACCTCCTACAGTACTCCACTGTGTACCTCCTACAGTACTCCACTGTGTACCTCCTACAGTACTCCACTGTGTACCTCCTTCAGTACTCCACTGTGTACCTCCTACAGTACTCCACTGTGCACCTCCTACAGTACTCCACTGTGTACCTCCTACGGTACTCCACTGTGTACCTCCTACAGTACTCCACTGTGCACCTCCTACAGTACTCCACTGTGTACCTCCTACAGTACTCCACTGTGTACCTCCTACAGTACTCCACTGTGCACCTCCTACAGTACTCCACTGTGTACCTCCTACAGTACTCCACTGTGTACCTCCTGTGAGGTAACTGCGGCAGCACTGAGCCAGTAAGTCTTGAATTCAACAAGAATAAATGAGAACGTCTATATGAAAGCATTAAAACAAATTTAAGTCAGCGACACCGTACTTGAAGAAGAAGATATTACAAACTCAGGCTTCTGTTACTGTATCTCTTTAACGGGAAGATAAGGTTACAATGGTACCGTACGGGTTGATCATTAAGCAAATGTTACAGACACAAACCACTGGGTGCCTTACAGGTTGAACAAGATGCAAATATTACAAACTCAGACCAGTGGGTACCGCACACCTTGAACAAATGACGCGAAACTAACGATAAGGATGAACATGAGAACTGCAGAAGCACTGAACCAGTAAGTATGCGTCTTGAATCCAACCAGAATAACTGAGAATACATGAAGAAACAGATTCAAGCCAGTGCCAGAGACTCATGTAAGTGGTACCGTACCACTTGAACAGGAAGCAGGTGTCACACACTTAGACAAGTGGCACTGTACCACTTGAACAGGAAGCAGGTGTCACACACTTAGACAAGTTGTACCGTACCACTTGAACATGAAGCAGGTGTCACACACTTAGACAAGTGGTACCGTACCACTTGAACAGGAAGCAGGTGTCACACACTTAGACAAGTGGCACTGTACCACTTGAACATGAAGCAGGTGTCACACACTTAGACAAGTGGCACTGTACCACTTGAACATGAAGCAGGTGTCACACACTTAGACAAGTGGTACCGTACCACTTGCACAAGAAGCAGGTGTCACACACTTAGACAAGTGGTACCGTACCACTTGAACAGGAAGCAGGTGTCACACACTTAGACAAGTGGCACTGTACCACTTGAACATGAAGCAGGTGTCACACACTTAGACAAGTGGCACTGTACCACTTGAACATGAAGCAGGTGTCACACACTTAGACAAGTGGCACTGTACCACTTGAACATGAAGCAGGTGTCACACACTTAGACAAGTGGTACCGTACCACTTGCACAAGAAGCAGGTGTCACACACTTAGACAAGTGGCACTGTACCACTTGAACATGAAGCAGGTGTCACACTTAGACAAGTGGCACTGTACCACTTGAACATGAAGCAGGTGTCACACACTTAGACAAGTGGTTCCGTACCACTTGCACAAGAAGCAGGTGTCACACACTTAGACAAGTGGTACCGTACCATTTGCACAAGAAGCAGGTGTCACACACTTAGACAAGTGGCACTGTACCACTTGAACATGAAGCAGGTGTCACACACTTAGACAAGTGGACCGTACCACTTGACAAAAGAAGCAGGTGTCACACACTTAGACAAGTGGCCATACCACTTGCAACATGAAGTAGGTGTCACACACTTAGACAAGTGGTACCGTACCACTTGCACAAGAAGCAGGTGTCACACACTTAGACAAGTGGTACCGTACCACTTGAACAGAAGCAGGTGTCACACACTTAGACAAGTGGTACCGTACCACTTGAACAGGAAGCAGGTGTCACCTAATACACTAAAAGCTTTATGAGGGAATTTAAATTTTGATCTAGCATGAACTAGACTGATTACCTCAAACTCCTCCTGTTCTCCACCATTCTCCTTTGTATGGACTGATGAAGCCACTGTGTGGCGAAACGTTTCCTCATTAAAGATACCCAAGTGTTGCACATGTGTCTAACTTATCCACTTATTACACAGAAATAAATTTATTAATTAAAACTGGCTTTTTACGATTTACACATCACAAAGTGAAAGTCAAGTGGTCTTCAATAATGAAACTCACTACGTTCATTACAAGACTTTCTCTAGTAAATGATCCAAATCGAACGTTTCAAACCTTTTTTTTTATCAATTTAATTAAAAATTTTTAAATCTGCACCTATGCAGTCTGAATTTACTGTCTTCTTTTTATGAACTGCATCAACGTTGAAATTTTGACAGTGATAAGAGACGTTCTTTAGTTATTGAGGCGTAATATTGATAAGAGATTATCTGTGCATTTGATACAGATAAAACAAGTGATATTAATTCTTCGCTCTGACATTGCCTTCTATTACAAGCTAAAATTTAAGAACATTCGTTCGTAAATAACATTTTTCATTTGCTGAGTCGTTTCCCTGACTTTTCAACACGTTTTATGCTTCAAGGGTTTATTATATATTTTAGTTTTACCTATGCCAGAGTAACACAAACAGTGAGCGGATGAGCTGATGACAGTTGTGAAGCTGCGTGTCTATATCTGAGCAACTGCGGCACCTTTCTTAACAGATGAACCTCCTTGGTAAGTGACCAACATCAAAATTCCTCTTGACAACTCTCCTCTCTGCATACTAATGCGCTAACGCAAGTGTTGCCAATGATTACTTTGATGCCCTGACATCCCGGAGATTCCAGAGATACCACATGCTGACGATGCACTACCTCAGCATCCTCATGTAAAGTCATACGTGAAGAATGACACACTTGTTCAATCATTTCGGAATCTTTGAGGAAACGTTTCGCCGACCACTGACTGGAGAAACGTTTCCCCAATAGAAATGTTGCACAGGTGTTTTATTCTTCAACTTCTAGGTTTTCTAAGCCATTTATATCATAAATGTCAAGTCTATATAAGACTGCTTAACTAACCCACTGCATCTGTCTTCAGTTATAGATCATCATCCAGCAAACACTAGACCGCTGGGGTTGTTTCGCTGTTTCTTTTTGGACAGAAGCTCATCACATACCATGTGATTTGTTTGCCTTGCTTTTTGTAACAATACAGCTTGATGAGGCAGAAAATGAGAGTTTGTGCAGTGGATCTTTATAGAAACCTAAGTCTCGAGAGATCACAAGATGATCTGGCCACAAGGACATTTTGGTCACAAGAAGATCCTGGTCACAAGGACATTCTGGCCACAAGAAAGTCTTGGCCACAAGAAGATCCTGGCCACAAGAAGATCCTGGCCACTAGAAGATTCTTGCCACAAAAGATCCTGGCCACAAAAAGATC